TTACACGAGATTTTTATTAAGAAAAACATAATAAATCTATTTTTAGAAAAAAAAAATCCTAGCAAAGATCCCATATAAAGAATGAAACTAGTTTCGAATTTTATATAAAGAATACTTGTATCATATAATCAGAGTTTTATAAAAATAGCTTTTTTATACAATTTGAGATGAGTTTAAATTTTTAAAACAAAATAGAACAAGTTATGTGGCTTATATTTTTAAGTATCCTAAACTATAATATTAAAAAATATTATAATTCTCAAATATTTACTAATTGATTCTAACTTTATATTCTAAATAAACTTGTTTAGCATTAAAAAATATATTATGCTAGCCCTGAAAATTATAGCAAAATTAAAAATAATAAAAAGTAAACAAAGTATAGATAACAAAACTCATAAAATAATTTGTAGCAGTAAATAAAAAATATTCAAGTACAAGTTTAAGCTTCTAAAAGTATAGCTATAATATACCAAATATAGTACAAAGAAGTTTAAATAGTAAAAATATATTTTCTAGTAACAATAGCTCCTTTGGAGCTTTTAATATGAACCAAATTCCTATAGCAGAAGTCAATGAAGATTTAGATTTTGAAGAATCTAACAAACCTAACATAAACCAGATTACTGTAAAAGTTAATAAAAATCAAGAATTTGAAGAATCTAACATAAACCAAATCACTGCAGCAGAAGTTAATAAAGATCAAGAATCAGAAATACCTAATGTAGATCAAATTACTTTGACAGAGTATGTATAACATATTTTTATATATTCCTCAATATATTTTAAATTCTATTCTAATAATCTATTTTTAGACATAACATGATTTTTAATAAATCATTCATTGAAACATTAAAGCATAATTATAAAAATTATAGTCCACAATTTCAGACCACTCTTGAAAAGTTAGCTGAATAGTATAATACAGCAAAAGAAATGTCCATTCCAGTATTAACATTATTCCTTTATAACATAAACCAAAGTGTTGATCCACTTGCACATATAAGAAGTAGCACAAAAATTCGAACACAAGTTGAGTCTGTAAAGCGCAGAAAAAAAGCCATTTGTAATAAGAAAAATATTAATTATCATGCTATGCCAGCACATAAGAAGCAAACAACCAGTAAAAAAGCACATAGTCTTAGTTATAATGTGAATAATAATCAGTTAAATTGACTTCAGAAAAGCATATTTATATATAACTATATGCATTTATAATCGCTAGCTCTAATTGATTAATAGTATATTTATATATAAATATATTTTGTTAATCATTTGTCTTAATAATAGAGTATAAGACAATTTCATATTTGGTATACAGGAATTATATTCAAAATTAAATGTAGAGATAAATTAGAAAATATAACTTAGATTAGCCGATTACACAGCTAATCTAAGCTTCAGTAAATTTTCGCTTGTATTGTATTCTATAATTCAGAATATAACTGGTTTATCTCATCCATGTAACAAACTTTTATGCATCTTATTTGAAAATAAAGCTTTACTAATTCATAATTGTCTTTAAAGTTAATATTTATACTCAATTATCTAATAAAGCATTACAATAAGTTATACGTATAGATAAGCTTAACCAAAAAAATAAATTTCAATCTTTACAATATTTTTTTTTAAAAAAAAAATATTGTTTCAGAATTAAAAAGTAGGAATCTATGACATATTTATTTTTAAATAAGTGATAGATCAATTTGTATTTATTCTCAAACAAGCTATATATTAATTTATATTTATTTTCAAATAAGCAGTGCATTAATTTATTCGTTTTCTGATAAACTTGGATTAATAAATGATCTTTGTCATTAAAAAAGCAATTTATAAAATAAGGGTATTTAAACTAGAGATGCATGATTGTTAATATATAAAATTATTAATTTTATTACCTTGCCTAATACTTTCATTTCATTTTTCAATTTCAAAGTTTAAAACTCAAATAAAGCTTAATATTCTTATTTATTTATTAAATACATCATTTTATCTTAATTATGAAACTTTTCTAGGCAAATTTAACAATACAAAGAATATATCATAATTTATCTCTATCACATGATTATAAATTAAATTCAGAGCAAATTTGAACAGTGCTATGCTATTTGTTTTGGATATAAGCTCCTGTATACCAAGTGTATACATAAAATTTGCTTGTACATAAGTATATAAATAAGTGTTGGTACTGCAATATGCATAATATGTTACACAAATATGGCCAGGATTCGAATTATATATCCAATCTTGCACGTGATAATGATCAACAAAACCTGGCACAGATTTCTTGGATGCAACAAATTTTGGTTATTCTAAAAAGAATTAATAATATATATAAGTCTATTTTTTTTGAATATAACAGTAGTTTAAAATTATATTATTATAGTTAAACAGATTTAATATATATAATATAAAAAAAAATTATATTTTTAAAAACTTTTATATATAATATATGATTTTTACTACAAATCACCGGTGGTGATCGTCACCACCCCTGGATATTTTTAGGGTTAGGGTGTGGTATTAAGAATTATTATTTTTTAATATAATATAATATAGAGTTAATATAAAGTTTTAAATTTAGTTTTTATAAGGTTTTTGGGGGTCCTGAACATTTTTACTTAGGATACCTGATCCCGTTTACTTAGTATGTTTTTGAGATATAGACACCCGGTGATGGTCACCGCCGGTTATAGTTAGTAATATTCTATAATATATGTTTAATTTTTGTATAAAATTTTTTAGATGATATATATATATATAAATTAATCTACATTCACTCTACCTTTAAACTTCTGATTCTAACTATTTTTAAATATATCATACTAACCTAAAAGCTATTATCTAGCTATTATGTTAGATTGCATATATTGGTTTAAGACTTCTGTGATATTTTTTAAGTTTGTATCAACTAATTACTAGCTTGCATTTCTTTGTTAAGCAGGTATATAGCTATTTTTAAAATAAATCTACCAGAGCTTTTTCTATTCCATTTGGACCAATCTGGTTTTGTGCAATTATTAAGACTTCTACTTGCAGTTGTATTTTACCTATTTAATTGCTTTTGCTCTTATAAGATTCACTTTCTAATCCTAATACTCACATTTAGACTTTTTTTTTTCAGTTATTTTCCTTATTAGTCTATCCTTTACTTCTAACTAATAACCCAAAAGATTTAACATTAGCTTGGCTTTAGATACCTAGTACCCTTGTCTTATCTTGATATATGATTTTTTAATACATATTCCTTTTCTCTAATTCAGTATACTAGTTTTCTAGACACATCTAGCATTTTTCTGTCTAACTGGTTTTCTACCTAACTTCCATAATCTCTAGTCTTGTAAGTAGGGTCCCTACTACTAGTTTTCTATATTAGCTAGCCAGAGTTAAAATAATTTAATTTAAAAAAGAATTATATTACAATAATTTAATTAGTTTGCAATATTTTGTAATTGAGTTTGAAATTAATTTATTTTTCAAGTACTAAACTAATTTTACAGTAATTTGTTTTAGTATATAAAAAATAAAATTGATTTTACAGTAATTTGTTTTAGTATATAGGATCTTTGCTAGAAAATTAACTTTACGAGCTATTGTTACACGAGATTTTTATTAAGAAAAACATAATAAATCTATTTTTAGAAAAAAAAAATCCTAGCAAAGATCCCA